AATAGCAAATAATTTTCAATCAAATACGCGGTAAAACAGTCATTCGAGATTGACTAAGTCACAATCCCCAACGGTGCACGACCCCATGCTCATCATTTAGCATGTGCGTCACCTCAATATAGCACAACGATGTGTAATCCGGGGTTTCATTCCCTTAGGACAACATTTACAGTCATTACTCACCTCGATCCAGTCCAAATTCTAGCCCGTGATGCCTTTGCCCTCTCGAATAGACCTCCGGAAGCTCCAAATCTAACCTAAATCAGTACATAACCATTAAAATATTCTAAGGGAACAAAGCCCACTCGAAAATATCCAATTTACATCAAAAAATTCGAAATTGCTAAAACTCGGCCCCTGGGCCCATGCCTCGAAATTTGATAAAAGTCACATCAATAGAAGCCTCATCCTCTCACGAGTCTATACATACCAAGAACATCAAAATCGAACCTCAAATGCCCCCTCAAATTTCCAATTTGCACTCTCCAAATTCAAGCCCTAATTCCCCAATTTTAGGCTTTAATTTCCACATACTTCATGTTTAAACAAGTAATAATCAACATAGGATCAAGTATAGAGTTCAAAAATCTCACCTCCAAGTATTTCCCTTTGATTCCCTCTTCAATCCTTATAAAAAGCTCCAAAAATCTTTCAACAATGGAGAAAATAGACCAAAAATCGCAAAATCCACTTTTAAACATTCTGCCCCAGGTAAAATTTCTTTCTTCACGAACGCGACCGCCCTCTCGCATTCGCGTAGACCAAATTCACTGCCTCTCCACTTTTCCCTTCGCGAATGCGGACGATTCAATGCGAATACGATGCTTCGCCATTCCAGCCTTTCGCGAACGCGATACAAATCTCTTGAATGCATAACACAAGCCTGGGGTGCCCAACGACCTCACTCCTCTTCGCGAACGCGACCCCAGTCACGCGTCCGCGATGCACATAATGCCTTCACCTTCATGTTCCATTCTTCTTCCTCGCAAACGCGTAGAAAAAAATCATCATCACACAAAAACACCCTTCACGAACGCGATGTACCCTCCGCGAACACGATGAACAAAAATCTCTGCAACAAAAACCAACAAAACTGCCAAGTCCAAAATCTAAAAATTGATCCGTTAACCATCCGAAACTCACCCGAGGCCCCCGGGACCTCAACCAAATAGGCCAGCATATCCCATAACCTCATTCCAACTTGTTCCAGCCTTCGAAATGCTCATAACAACATCAAAACACCAAAATCACATCGGATTCAGGTCTAAGAATTCCAAAAACTTCCAACTTCCGCTTTTGATCAAAAAGCCTATCAAACCTCACCCGAATGACCTGAAATTTTGCACACACGTCACAAATGAGACAAAAGGACTATATCAAAATCTCACATATCAACCGAAAAACGCCAAAATCTCAATTTTGCCAATTCAAGTCTAAACCTTCCGCGAACCTCCAAAACACATTCCGACCACGTTCCTAAGTCCCAAACCATCTTACGGAGCTAAACAAATCATAAAAATTCCAATTCGAGGTCATCTACTAACAAGTCAAATCTTGGTCAAACCTCTCAAATTTTAAGCTTCAAACTGAGAACTGTTCTTCCAAACTCATTCCGATTACCCTAAAAACAAAAAACAATGATTTACATAAGTCATAATGCATCACACAGGGCTAGTCATATCCGAGAACTATCGAGCAAAGTGCAAAATCTCAAAACGACCGTTCGGGTCGTTACACCTACTTCCTCTTCCACCCCTGCATCCCTTTACACCCGACCACCATTCTTTCACCTTGAAGAAAACAGAGGATTATTATGACACTACTATTAGAAATGCCATGGAAGTATTCCGCCGTTTCTTTCTAGCGGAGCAAGAAAAATGAAAAAACTATGTAAAAAGTGGCCACAATTGCTACCAATAAGAGTATTGAAAATGTGTTGGCGACTCTATCAAATGTGTTGTTAGAGTTATTTCTTCTCACTATAACAAGGTTCATCCTTCTCGAGAGATCTTCTATTATTTATCATATTATTTTTCAAAATTGGACTAGATTTGGTAGATTGTGTTAGTATTGCTTTTAGTTGTTTAACTTTTGGATTTTAGTGGATGGACAATGCAATACTAAGTATCACATCATTGAAAAGATTTTCACAAATTATATTTAACTGCTTTGTATAGGGTAAAATCGGTTCACACTAAAAACTTGAATGACAGAGTGACACCTGAAATCGGGGACAGATAGAAGACAAAGCGAGGGGACACCAAAACCGATGACAATAGTTTCGGTTCCCATCGAGTAGACCACGAAGAGAACATCATCAATAAGGGCAAACAAATATTTGTCACCAGATGACATTCAATGAAGAATATTTTTCAGTATTAAATACACATCCGTTACAGAGAAATTTGGTACTCATGACATGCTGTTACATATTCATCAGTGACCCTCATTATTGTCAATTTAAGAGGGGTTTGATCCTAGGACCTTGTTCCCTAAGTATAGCTATAAATAGTGGTTTCAACAACCATTGTAACGCACGAAAATTCTGACAAACTTATGCTACACATTATTCCAAGCTAAATAATATTCTATTTTCTGTCTAACAATATTCTTATTGCTGTCTTCGAAAGCCTTGCTCCCGGAACCAAGTTGTTTGCTATTTTATCTCGATTTCAACACTAAGTCTTATATTTTATTTAATTTATTTATCATCTTGGATCAAATCGATTGCTTGTCTATAAATCATGCTATAAATTCAACTTTATCGTTTTACGGGTAAACAATATGTATAGAAAAAGAGCCCAATCTTTGAGTTTATATACATGAAACGAGAAAATTAATCCTTCAATTATACATAAAAAATACTTCTTCAATATATTCTTGGTATAAACATATATTTTCTAAAAAACGAATCCCAAACCTACCCCCATGTTTAAGGGGTCTCTTAAGACATTTTTTTTCTTGAAATCTTCGCTCGAGAATAAGGTGAAAGAATGGTGGTTGAGTGAAGAAGGAGATGGGGGTAGAAGAAGAAGTATGGGAGGGGGTAAAATGGGATAGGTGCAATAAGCTGCCATATCACATGGTGTCCACATTGGTGTTATGTAAGGCCACGTGGGATAATAGTGCCATGGTGGTGGGTCCCAATGATGGATGGATATTTTTGAACCAGTTTTATAACGTCGGGGGCTCTAGTCGACCAATAGTATAATAGATGATACAAATGAACATTTTTGAATAGTAAAGGGATATTATTTTTACCCTTTTTCGAAAAAATTTCAAGATTTTCAACTTTATACTTTACAAGGTAGTGTGTTTATTAAGAATATTTAGATGAGTGTTCTTTTAGCAATATGCGTAAGATATGAAAGAAGACTAAAATAAGAAAGAGAATAAATTATTTTAGAGGAAATAAGAAAGGGAGAAAAGTTTTCAGAGGAAGCCCATATGGAGAACTGAAGAAAAAAAGTAAAAAAAAGGGTAAAAAAATAAAGAAAAAAGTGAAAAATAAGGAAGAAAGGTAGATATAAAAGAAATAAGGAGAATATTAAAAAATAAAATAAAATAAAAAGAAGGTTAGGCTAATTAGCTATTGCATTCTGTCACGTGGGCCATTAGATGGTTTTTTCAGAAGTCACGCACTCCCGAGCGGGTTATTATATACGTTATGCCAGGTAAACTACGAAGGGAGTTTAAATATGAAGGGCAATATAGTTTAGAAGAATTTTGAAAATATCAAATAGTTTAAGTAGAAAACTAATAACATTGTTATAGTTTAAGGAATTTTTAGGGTATTAAGTCTTTTTTAAGTTAGATGAGATTGAAATGATTCTATTACTTAGATGATCACTCAACTATCTGAAATTATAGAGTAAAATTACTTTTCTTTCATTTTAACAAGAAAGTCACTCAACTATTCCCATTGCACTCTCATGATCGCTCAACTAGATTTTTTAATCTTTTCAGTCTAAAATACTAGTCCACATGAATTTTTTATATTTTCGGATCACATAAAATATATAAGACCTAAATAAAACATAGAAAAATCATATACCTAACCCGATTCGTTAAAGTAAAAATCCATCCAAAAAGGAGTAATTTTCAATTTGTATTGTAATTCATATTCTTTAATTAGAAATAAAACTATTCAATCTTGGCTTTATTTTCGCATATGTTATATGTTGGGAAAAGTTGTTTGAATTTTGTGTTTTCTGCTTTGACTTTTTTCTTAAATTGGGGTCGAGAATAAAGTAAACATTTGTGTGTAAGCTACTTAATTTTTAATTACAGAAAGTATTAGTATAGTTTAGATTGAATATGATATTTATATTTTATTATGGTTGATAGAAAGTGTGATGTCCATGACGGAGGCCGAGTCAAACAGAACTGACAAACTTTTAAATTGGCAAGATTTTGAAGAAGGGATACACATATCACCTTAGACGAATCCCATGTTAGAATGTGATAGGAAGGAGAAGATCCTAAGGCATGTCACAAGTTCACATGGCACGCTTGTTTTGGGGCTCGATGTGGCGTAACCCGAAAGACATATCCGTGCGAGCCTAGGCACAAAACGTACAATACGTGCCATAGGCTTGGATCGTGACAAGTAAGGTATCATAACTGAATCTCCCTCAGTACGGTGGTGGGGTAAACTTCAACGAGGCCGCTGAGTCCTAAATGAGGGGATGGTGAATGTGATGCTCATGACGGAGGGCGGGCTGATGAGGGCGGATCAAACAGTATTGGCAGGCTTCTAGCTCAATAAGCTTTTGAAGAAAAAATGTACATATCATCTTAGGTAAATCCCACGTCGAAATAGGAAAGTGAAAAACCTTATAAGCTAGGCTTTTCACTTAGGCGTGTTTACATGGTAGACGTGTTTTTCACTTGGATATCAAAATTTTTGAAAAAAATTAAACATTTTTACAAAAGCTACTAAAATAAATACTTTTATAGAAATTGAAATTTCAAACTTTTCTTAATTAATTTCCTTCTTTTCTGTTTCTCCTCGCTAAGGGGAGCAGGGTGAAGTCATTTTACTTCCAATTTCCCTGTCGTCTGTGAAGAACAGTGCTTACACTTCTGCTCCCTGAAGAAGTGTAAACTCTCATTACATTCTCTCAACTTGAGTACAGCAAAAATGGTGAAAAAGGCATGGAAAATAATCCCACGGCCCCTCCTCGAAACCGTCCTCAACAACCACGCTCAACACCACCGTGTCCCTCAACCCCTTATTCTTCACGGCCCTCGTGGCGTCGGCAAAACCACTCTAATCCTCGAGCGTAAGCATCATCAATTTACACAAACATGAATTACTCGTTGTTTTCTTTTGTGTTCTTATACAATTGTGTTTTACAGGTCTTATGGGTAAATGGAACAGTGGCCCTCATGTAACAGGCTACGTGGACTTTGCAGAATCCGTAAAAGATCATCACCCAACTCACGGCCAATCATTTCCCTGGGCTTCTTGGTCCAATTGCCCCCCTCCTTTACTGCCCTCTCTTACAACTCAACTCGAATGTTGCCTCGAATCGATGGCCCAAAAGGGCATTAAGCTTGGAACTATAAGCTCTCATCAGATTTTCACTGTTTTAAGTAAATGGCATGGACTTAATACAGCCCTTAAACAGATCCTAAATGGTAATGTTTCTAACTCCAGGAAGGCTGTTTCTATTAGGAATAGTTCGGTGTTGAATTTATGGGAAAGGGCAGTTTTTGCGTCAAGTGTTCGATTAAATGCCCAAGAGAGCTGTGGGTTGAGTTTGGAGGAAGAGACATATTATAAGGAAGCAATGGCGGCTTTGAATTTGGCTAAAGAGGTTATAAGTGTGCAGCAAAAGTGGAGAGCTAATGCGATCAAGCATTTGAATCGGACTGGTGGATTTTCGAGGTCTTTGGTCAATTCAGCCACGGATTGGCCCTGTTTGTTATTAGAACTCCTTTCATCTGCCGCTGAAATAGATTATTTTCAGGTAATCCAAATGAAGTTGGCAGTGGGCTCGATTTCATGTAAGGGGATTCAAGAAAGTTCTAGAACGTCAGACCTATGATTTAAACCTGTGACCTAAAGCAATTTCTGAATCGCCTTTGCCATTACACTAGAATATTTCCTTATATCAAGGGGATTCAACATCTATATATAACCAAAAAAATTAACTTTTTGCTCTATTTGCACAGTATAATTTTGCGGCGAAGGGGATTCAATTGAACCCCTTGCTTGAACCTAGTTCCGCCCTTGGAAGTTGGATCTTAGTTTTTCATGAAATTTTCAGGAGCTAAATTGGATTCATGAAAGAAGCTGCTAATTTTTATTTACTGGTGAGAAGTAGTAGTAGGGAGCTAAAAGTGATATGTGTCTAGTACGCATATTCTTTACCCCGTGATCTCACAGTAAAAGTCTCTGAAACACGACCCGGAGTTAATGGTCTTCATTTTGACTTAGCTTGTGTCTTTTGCTTTATATAATATTGATGTTTTCTTTATTGGACATGTCAAAATGAGTAGCCGAAGCTGGTGATAAACAATATTGAAGTCCTAAAGAATGCAATACTGAAAGATGATTCTACTGTCTGTGGGTCCATGTATCACGATAGTCTGATATGGAGAATGATAGCCTTGGGTGCAAATGAGAGATGTCTTCCAGTTATTCTTGTCACATCTGATAGGTAATGCAACTTAACTTTTTATTTTAGCCTAGGACCTGCATTTATCATGCATCTCAATGGACCTAGTTGTCAAACTTCCTTTTTATAATGATTAGTTGCATCATGTGGTTCGAATGCATGCATTTTGCCTCAATGTTATAACGAGAATCCCACATAATTCATATAAAATTACATTTGGTATGCTGTCTCTCTTAGTTCAGAAATTTCAAGTTAGTACTCACACAATACTGATAAAAAGAAGTGCAGCACCCCAACTTCCTTTCCTTTTCCTTATTCAATAAAAGGAATGCTGAAAAAGTGATAGTATGTTGTTTGCGGTTGAATGTGCACGGAGTGTAGAGTAGTGATGGGCATGAGGTAGTCTGTTTGAGGTGCTACTTATCCTCGTTGGCACATACCATGTATGTTTGAACCTGGAAACATCCTTCATATGTTTTATGAATTAGGAAGCTAAACTATAAGGCAGTTTTTCATTCAGTAGGTTCTAAAAGAATGATTTAAATCCCTGCATTTGCATGACATACATCCCTTGAATAGAAAAGGAGAATTTTGTGTAAGCTTCAGAGGTCTAAAAGATAGGATGGATTGGTGGCGAAACTTCATTGTAGCATCATTAATGAAACTTAACGCATAAACCGTAGCATAAGAGGATTCATAACTATATTTTGTCTGACAAATTGATGCCCGTGTAGGACACATCAATAACAGCCCGTTTTCTTTTTTAAGTAACAGCATGTAATAACACTTGCGATATAATTATCTTGCCTTTGCAGAATAAAGCTACACTAGCTATCTCACCAGCCTTACAGTAGTTATTTTCATATTTGTGACTGTTATATGCTCTGAGGAACTATCTTTAATTTCCTTTTAATTCAATTTAGAGATTCAACACTTAACAAGAAAATTATTGCAGCTACTACTCATATCGTGCCTATATGGATTTTGGATTTCCGGACATTTTCATCTCACGTGAGGTAAGCACATCAGAATTATTCAAACTTGCTACTCCATCTCTCAGTGAGTGCGAATCTTTTGCCTATAGCTTATCATGAAAACAAAAGGATGTAAACCTTTTGTGCACTTGTTTCAATATTATGCTTCTGTAAATTGGAAATTTGTTAAGGTGCACTTTATCCAGCTCGAACCTTTATTTCCTGCCTTGTCTTGATGGAATCAATAAATATAAAAGGATTTTCTCAATTGTGTGCTTCTTGCATGATTTTCTTTGCTTTACCTGTTCATATTCCTTATTAATTGACAGGTTTCTTCGTTGAAGTGATGCCTGAGTCATCTTTCTCTGAAGTAGTTAAATTTACTCTGCAACTTAATTTGTGTATGCGTGGTTTCTGTTTGTCTTACAGGTCTAGCTAAAACTAGCTTATTTTATGTGAACTATGGTACATCTCACTTTGTTGGAAATGCAGACATTTGGGTGGACTCCTGCAGAAGCTAAAATGCATATGGTTGATGACTATTTTAGTCAGTCAGAGGTATGACCTTCTTTATACCAGATAAATACAATCATAAGAATATGCTTTTTAGCTTTAGTTATGTCATCAAGATGATTTCTTGTTGGGTATATTGATCATACTTATTCTGCAGTGGAATGTGATTGTTGAGGTGCTAGGGCCGAATCCGAGACATCTATTTGAGGTTTATGCACTCAAGCTAAGTAATTACTACCAGAAGTGAGTACTTATAGATGCTTGTTCATGTATTATAATTGATCTGCAACAATAGGGTCTTGCAGTTGTCATGTAATCTGAAATCCAGTCAATAAATTAAGCTGCTTATCTTGTTGCTTTTCTTATAAGGACATAGAAATTCCATTATGCACTCTACAGTCCACAGTGAAGGGGAATGTGGTTGACCAGTTTCATAGGTATATTAGCATAAACCATTTTTCTAGGAGAAGCTAAGAGCACTGGTCATTTTGTGATAATATGTTGTCATATGCCTCCCCACTTGTAGGACTATACTCATTATGTTGTTGTTGTTGTTGTATGTTGTCATATGCCTAAGGGCAGATATATGAACTTCCAAAACAGCTTCTTATGGCATGTGATCTGCTGCAATTTACCTATTACTTTGACCTTTGGGAAAGAAAAAGAAAGGGGTTTTGGGGGGAAGTAGACTATCATTGTCATATAACATTTAATCTTTACATCGCATGTTTTTCCGGAGGAAAGCAAGTGCTCTCTTTATCTTTAGTTTCCGGTGTGATCTCTAAACCAGTCATCATATCTTGGTGGGGCTACATAGTACTTTTTCTTTGAATTGGTTTCCAAGGCTTTGGTCTAGTGGTAAGAGTACAGCTTGTGATGTGTGGATTATGCACACGTCACGAGTTTGAACCATAGCGCAGACAAAAGCCTAGTATTTAAGTGGAGAAGAGTAGAGGAGCGGACTCATTACCCACCGAGTTTCGAACCGTGCAACACAAGCCTCAGGGGTTTCTCAGATATTAAAAAAAGAGTTAGATATGCCAACAGTTCTCATTTTCTGTTAACATATGTGGTATTCTACGATAAACAGTTTTCTGCTTGAGCCATATACTAAATGATTATCACAACCTAAGTCACTCTCATATTTATTTGAATCTAGGGTCATGAGTGAGAAGAGCAGTAAATTTGAGGATATCGTGGATGCATACTTGGCATATCTTCAAGTAAGTTCCAGAATAAGTTACAATTTCCATTACATTTGGTTTTAACTTGTTTCAGTGGTGGAGGTTTTATCTTATAAAGTATACAAGCTGAAGTTTGTGAGGCAGATAAATTTAAATCAGAACACCAAAGTAAAACCAAATCTCGATTTTTTTCTTTTTGATAAAGTAATAATTTTATTGAAATATTTGGATACAAAAACACCCGTATACAAAAAGTATATCAAAAAGTAGAAAAACCTACAAAAAGATATGGTTACTACAAAAGATACCCAATCTTCTATACCAAAAGGATCCTTGTGGGTGCACCAAAAGGAAACAAGGGATAAAAGGCTATTTCTTAATTGAGCAAAGTTCATTTCTTTTAAAAGCTCTCCTATTTCTTTCTCTCCTTATAACTCACATAAGCACAAATGGAGCAACATTCCAACCCCTGCGTCTTCTCATCCACCTACCGCAATTCCAACTGAACATGAGCTCTTCATGGGGCCTGGCATCACCAATTCATTCGAAACCAGCACAAAGTTTTCCACTATAACCTCGAGGCTACTCGACAATGAAGGAGGAGATGGTCAACGTCTTCACCCAGGCTTTTACATATAAAGCACCAACTGATGTAAGTAACCTTCCACTTTCTCAGATTTTCGGCTGTTAGTATCACCCCACTTGTAGCTAGCCATGTGAAGAAGCACAACTTTCTCGGAACCTTAGGTATCCAAATTGATCTATGTGGAAGTGCAGCCTCCTCCCTAACCAGAAGCTTCTCATAAAATGATTTAACAGAAAATACCCCGTTGTTTCTCGCCCCAGCTCCGTACGTCGTGGTTATCCTGTAGCATTCGTTGTTTGTGAAGCAACTCAACTAGGTTTTGAAATATTGTTACTTCCCCATCTTGAAAGTTCCTTGTAAACCTCAAATCCCCAAAAAATTCTCCATCTTGTATCTTTCTGACTAGTTGGACTGTCATCTCCTTTCGGTTCTGAAAATGTTTGGGAATGCAAGTCACAAGGTATTGTCCCACTTGTGCCCTCAAAATTTACCCTCTCACCCCCTACCCTGAAAGACATAAAATCGAATCCTCCCATCCTTTCAGGATATTCCTCCACAATCTGCATCCAGAAGGCATAGTAATATTTTTTAGTCCTCCAAGCCCTTTCAAGACCCCGTACTTTTCCGCTATCACCTCTCTCCACAAAGCATGTTCCTCTCTCCGAAATCTACACAACTGTTGGCCTTATTGAAAAGCCTCTAATTTTTAACACCAAGCCCACCCCAGCATTTGGGAGACGTAACAGTCTCCCACTGCACCAAGTTACAGTCTCCCACTGCACCAAGTGAAACTTCATTGCCCCATCTGTTGAATCCCGTAGAAAGTTCCTTTGAAAGTCTTTCCAACTGATCGGAGCCTGAAACAAAGACATGAAATATGTGGGAATGCTCAGCAATGTGCTCTTAAGAAGCACTTAGTTTCCTCCTTTGGAACAATATATTCTCTACCAACCTGCAGGCCTTTCTAGGGGTATCAATGGATATTCGAAAACCGACTAAACTGACCGACCGTACCGCACCGAACCAATTTTTTAGGTTTCTTTTTAAGAAACCGTAGGTTTTTATATAAATATATAACCACACCGATAATTAGGGTAGGTTTTTTATTTTATAAAAATAAACCGAAAAAATACCGAACCGTACCGAATAAATTTTACATGTAGAAATTATATTTATTTAGTAAGTTTAAAAATAATAATGCATTAAATTTTCCTTGAGCCTTGGAATTATGAAAACTATTACAAGCCAACAAGTAATTAAACTCAAAATACTAATTCCTAAAACCTATTATGCTACTTCTACTTAAACTAAGTTATTTCAAGTATCTTTATTAGCAAGACACAAAGTATTCTAGCGATTATGAGTAGCAAACTACAATGTATTGAATATGTTTCCTTTCATATAATTTAGATTTATCTTTTTGAATATTTAATTTTCGATTGACTTTATTCTTGAGTCCCAGCTTGGTATATCTTTCAACTCATGTGATTAATATTTTCTTTGCCTTTGTTTGATTTCTTTTACGTTGTTGTAGAATAGTTGATGGATCTATACTCTAGCCATTTTTTTTTTAATTCATCACCCTTTAAACATTAAAAATGTCTAGAGAGTTTTGCTAAGTCCTATAAAAGAACGTATGTTATTGCAATTCTACTTCTACTAGTGAATTTTATATAATATTAAAAAAATACCGAAAATTAACCGAACCGTACCGATACCGAAGAGAAACCGACATGATTGGGACGGTTTCGAAAAGTCTAATTTTGGTTATACATAATAGAATAACCGAAAAATTGGTATGGTACAAATTTTATAAAATAACCGGCCCGAACCATTGACACCCCTAGGCCTTTCAACTCTTTAAAGTTTCAGATTCTATGCAGCTTGGATCTTTATTTGAAGCACCTAGTGGCAAGTAGGGGTGTCAATGGTTCGGTTCGGCCGGTTATTTTATAAAATTTATAGATACCAATTTTTCGGTTATTCTATTATGTATAACCAAAATTAGACTTTTCGAAACCGTCCCAATCATGTCGGTTTCTCTTCGGTATCGGTACGGTTCGGTTAATTTTCGGTATTTTTTTAATATTATATAAAATTCACTAGTAGAAGTAGAATTGCAATAACATACGTTCTTTTATAGGACTTAGCAAAACTCTCTAGACATTTTTAATGTTTAAAGGGTGATGAATTAAAAAAAAAAATGGCTAGAGTATAGATCCATCAACTATTCTACAACAACGTAAAAGAAATCAAACAAAGGCAAAGAAAATATTAATCACATGAGTTGAAAGATATACCAAGCTGGGACTCAAGAATAAAGTCAATCGAAAATTAAATATTCAAAAAGATAAATCTAAATTATATGAAAGGAAACATATTCAATACATTGTAGTTTGCTACTCATAATCGCTAGAATACTTTGTGTCTTGCTAATAAAGATACTTGAAATAACTTAGTTTAAGTAGAAGTAGCATAATAGGTTTTAAGAATTAGTATTTTGAGTTTAATTACTTGTTGGCTTGTAATAGTTTTCATAATTCCAAGGCTCAAGAAAAATTTAATGCATTATTATTTTTAAACTTACTAAATAAATATAATTTCTACATGTAAAATTTATTCGGTACGGTTCGGTATTTTTTCGGTTTATTTTTATAAAATAAAAAACCTACCCTAATTATCGGTGTGGTTATATATTTATATAAAACCTACGGTTTCTTAAAAAGAAACCTAAAAAATCGGTTCGGTGCGGTACGGTTCAGTCAGTTTAGTCGGTTTTCGAATATCCATTGACACCCCTAGTGGCAAGCCAAGGTAGGAAGTGGGGAGAGCCCCAACCTTGCAATTCAAAACTTGTGTTAGAGTCTCAATATCCTCCACTTCTTCAACTGGTATGATCTCGCACTACTTAAATTGATCTTAAGGCCCGACACCGCCTGAAACCATGTTAACTCACGTCCTAAGTATTCCAACTGAGTCTTATTAGCATCACAAAATACCAAGTGTTGTCCGCGAACAATAAATGCTAAATCTGCACGATAACATGTCCCCAAATGCTGCATTGATACGTCTAAAATATTCGTCCGTCACTGCTCTATCCATCATCCTACTCAAAGCCTCCATAACTAAAATGAAAAGCATAGGACATGACGAGTCACCCTGTCTCAAGCCTCTCGATCTGCCTCACAAGAATCGACTATCTCACTGTAGAAATGCAGAATTTGATCCACTTTCTCCACTTGACTCCGAAGCCCATTTGCAACATAATAAGATCCAGGAACTCACAGTTCTCACGGTCATAGGGCTTCTCAAGATCAATTTGCACAAAGTACCTGACACTCCTTGCTTTCTTCTAGAATCTACCACTTTATTTGCAACAATGTTGCATTCAGTATATGTCTACCTTCCATACAAGCGTTTTGCGAAGTAGACATAATCTTGTTCTAAACCTTCTTAAGTTTATTGGAAAGCACCTTAGATATAATCTTGTAGATGATGCCCACTAGATTAATAGGTCTGTAATCCCTGGTGCTCATTGCATCCTTCCATTTTGGAATAATGACAATCAAAGATGCATTGAGGTTTTTTCGAATTCTCCTCTCTCCTGAAACTCGTGAATGGTTTCCAGCACCCCGCCTTTGAATCTCGGGATTATCTTAAACCTATTGGTTTTGATCAGGATGAGCCTTTTGAGTTTATTTTAGAAAGCAAAGGCATGCTTCCGTTTCTCTTGCTTATAACTTTAGGCAGGGACAGAGCTACAATAGTGAGTGTGGGCGAACCTAGTAACTTTTTTCCGAACCCTATATTTGCATTGAAAAATTTACTGAATGCATATAAATATACAACAGCTAACCCAGTAGGAAAAAGGCTCTGGGTTCAGTGGTAAGGGTTCTGGATTTGGAGGCAATCCACACGTGTTCGATTCTCCCGAGAAGCAGCGCAACTTCATTTCTTTTTAACAACGTTTCCTTTTCTTTTTTGGAAAAAAAAACCACAAACTTGTTACTAAGACAAAAAGAAAAAGACAAAAGCTCCAAAACAGCCCCAACTGTCCCTTCACTTCTTTGAGAGAGTTATTCCCCAAGTTAAAATCAAAAGAAAAGTGAGTGAAAGAGTTAAGGTTTTAGAATGTTGTTGTCATTGTTTAAAATCAAAAGTCCCAACTGGTCATGTTTTTCTTCAAGGTCCATCCATGCTATTCCATCTTCTTTTCTTTTATTTACTTGCCATTCTTTTATCTTTTGATTTTTTAAGTAAATGTTACTTTGATTTTAAATTTTTGATTCCAAAAGTTAAATCTTTCATTTTGGCCTTTTATATTTGTATTGTTGTGCTTCCCCTAAAATTTTAGACCCATCTCTTAATTTTTTCTCAGCGTATGATATTAAAAAATTCATTTACTATACCAATAATTATTTAGGCCAGAAAAGGATGTGGCCATTAAGCTGGTGAGGGAACTTTGCGTCATCCGATAAACTTCTTCATATATAAGTAGAAAGTAAAAAGGAAAGCAAAAAGCTTTTCCATGTATCTAGTATTCATTATGCAATGAACTTTTAAAACAAATATTCACAAGATATAGAGACTTGTTTATTGGTTTTAAGTTTGATATTATGTTTGGCTATTGCAACGGTAGAAAACTTTTACTTCGATGAAGTTTTGCGTTGGTTTTTGAATGATTATTTAGTTTGTTATACAGAGAATAAATCATATTTGAAACTAAAAAATGTACCTAAGAATGCGATCATTTACTGTTTTCAAAACATGACAAGTCGTCAAGTGCAGTTATAACGATAGTGTTTATATTCATATATTGTGTTAAGTGGTTGTTACTTTTTAAATATGTATTAAATATTGGTACTCGTTTCTTAGTATTATTATTTTTGTATATTAGCTTGAGCACGGTCCTGTCTTAAATTCAGAACCCATACACTTAAAATCCTAGCTCCATCTCTGTAGGTGCGTCGGGCTTTGTAACTGTTTGAGCTTGCACATGAGTCACTATTCATGTACAAGGTCAAAAGTTAGCTTTCATGCAAGCTATTGAGTCTCTACTTTTTGGACCTACAGTAATAATAAAATTATTGGCACATTGCTGTTAGTATTCTCTCCCATTACATAGTATACACAACTCTACAACTAGGAATAGGCAAGATACCTGCGAAGAGAATTGATATGAATGAGTAAGTATATTATGTCAAGAAATTTGGTTGATCTTCTCTTATCTTTGCCAAGTCAAATGTTTTCTTTTTTCATATGGTTAAATGTCCAAGATCTCTGCCTTCACAAGGTACGGGTAAGGTCTGCATATACACTACCCTCCAAGACCCCACTTGTGGGATTACACTAGGTTTTTTGTTGTTGTTGTTGTTGTATGGTTTAATGTCCAAGAGTTATATATTGCATAACCTAGAGAGACTTGTGCCTTGCATCTTGTCTTGTTTGATCCAAAATGCAATCTCATACATTGTAGAGAGACTATCCTGAAGAAGAAAGTTTTATGGAGTTTTGACAATTTGCATCTGAGTAGTTGAGGAAGTTTCTCTAGTTTGGGTGCTTTGTTTGGAAGAGCGCGTGGATTAGGACTTTTAATAGATTTTTTTTAAATAGAATTAAAACATAGACAGAAAAAATAAACGCAGAAACGCTCTGGATTGGGGCTCATAACTAATTAAGAGAATAACCAAGTCATCATTAGGTGTGTAAGCACTGCAATGAAATCGAGCAGACTTCTTAAATTTGTTCAATGTTCAATTTTTCATTCTGAAAGTGCAGCATACTAGAACTACCAAATATTTAAAATACTGAATGAAGTCCAAGCCCTCATCTGCTATTCTTATCTGTACTGTAGGTAACCGTAGTTAATCCTGCCATGGATAGAGCATTGTCACTTCTACAGAAGTTTGCAGTTGATGCACGAAGTAGAAGAATTTTGAAGGACAAGCTATGTTTTGGTGCTCCCTGGAGACACCCTCCATCTTCTAATGATCCTGTATTGTGTCGTCAGTGGGCTAAAATTCAACTTATGGACTTTGTTCAGTCTCTCGTGAAAGCAGAATTTGGGGTATCATTCATCTTGTTCTATTTTATAAGCATATACGCAGGTGCTAGCTGTAGCTGTCTAATATCATACGAGCATTGCACTAAATTATTTAATTTGAAGCGCTTCATTTCTTTCTATTTGTGCAAGTACCGTGGATCTATTATTTGCATGCTACTCTTGTTGTTTTATATTTTTCCTTGAGCCGAGGGTCTATCAGAAACATCTCTACCTTTTCAAGGTAAGGGTAAGGTCTGCCTACACATTACCCTCCCAGACCCCACTTGTGGGATTACACTGGGTTTGTTGTTGTTGTTTGTTGTACTCTTGTTTTATGTTTTCACTTAGAAATCATATGATGCCTCTTTGCGATGCTTGCTAGTCTAACTTATCAAAACCTGTGGAAAGTATGAAGTTGCATATATAACAGCAAAATATAGGAGTATGAATCATTCTCTTTGTGATGGTCCACATGTCTCCTTATGTAATGCGTTATGTGATCAATGGCCTTACTCTGGTTTTTTATTAGGTAAATTGCTGTGTAAAAGGATTAAACGGAAAACAAAAGTTGATGCCATATATTTGTGCTTTTGTGATTGGGAAAGAGGACATTCCAAAAGTTGCCTCCTAAATTTTGTAGATAAAATATGATTACTGTTTTTAAAGTCATTAGCATCATAGATACTTAGTCACTCTTCCTTTTTTTTTTTTTTGATGAAGCAAAACATAGTCATTCGTTTTTCCTTGCTTTTTTATTTTGCTCCAATTTGCAGGTAAACTATCTAGCTGATTGTAGTCTTGAAATCTTTGATGATCCCTCTGCTATTGCATTAATAGAGGTACTATGTATAAGTCAATTCAACCTTTTCATCAGGATCCGTGCTTTTCATTTTGTCCTGATTCTTTTTTTTGTTTTTTTAACTGTCCTGGCTTACCCTTATTAAGAACAGACTGGCCCTGCGGTTGCTATGAATATTTGCTGCACAATAATTTTGCTATAATTTGTTAAGGCACTGTTTGGAAAAAAGATGTAACAAAACCCTGTCCAATAGCTGTCCGAAGGGGAAAGAAAAGATATCAAAAGAATCAAAATATTGACGCTCTGCCTATTACACTATCTAAATGCTATGATTACTCTTTTTAGGTCGGTCTGCTGTATTCACAACGGGATCCATCATTCATTCGTCCTGTTTCTCGGGGTATTCAGAGATGCCTTGTTAGGTGGTAAGATTTGTACTTGCAGTCAGCCTGGCTTTAGAAAAACTTAGAAGCTCCCGTACGTTTACTCTTTTCATTTCAATACAGGCTTGTTCAACAGCGAATGGAGCTGAACTTGAAGAATTCACTCCAGCATCTTTGGCAGCGAGCCATTCGGGGGCGCAGCTATCGCCATCTGATGTTAGAAGTAGGATACAAGTAGCTCATCAAGGTAATTGCTAATGAAACTTTTAAAAGGATTTGTTTGGTTAAGGGTCGTGTGAATATTTGTCTATGGAATAGTCTCATTCATGTTATAACTTCACTTCTCTATATTCTAGAATCACTGAGTCAATGGTGTCTGATATACATTTATGTAGTAATTCACCTGCTGACTAAGATGATGTAAGAAAGCAATGTAGAATGCTATGGCTATTTTTATTCAATTGTAAATTTAAATGTGGTCTTCAACCTTAGTTTGTTTTCCTTATGCTTTTTGTTGCTAAAATTCCATTTGCGACATGTGGTCTAACAGGGCTATGGTGAATTAATAACTGTTGGTCAAGCATTTTGATGGATATATCTTTATTTAAGGTTAGACTTCGATAGTATTTGTTTTCTGGAGCGACATTCTGGTTTGAACATAACTCTTTCATCCAATGTCAAAACTAACTAAGAGCTTTTTATTGCTGTATTTCAGGTGGGTCAAGCTCATGCTTACAATGGTGAAGTTGTCCTTTCATCATTAAAAAAATTTGTAAGTTAATCTTGGAAACACTCGTAAATACCCTTTCCAGCATAAGTGGTTAGTCTTCTGTTGAGAGTAGCCCTGCCACCTAAGTTGCACGGACTCTTCGATTTTGGTGCCGTTCCCGTCCAGATACGAGACGGGGACGGGGACCGGAGCGGGAGAGGGATACGTCCCGGATACGGTCAACCGACATCGGACACTTTGACCGGAGTCCATCGATAAATTTGGGAGAAAAATTGAGATTTTGATTTCTCAAAATAAAAAATAAAACAGATTTAGGAGAATTAAAGAATAATGTCCATCTTGGAGAATGAAAGATTGAATTCTACAATATTCATGTAAATTTTTCACAGAATATCTCTCAAAATTTACAATATTTTTATAGCCCCATTTTTTATTAGCCAAATTCCAGCATCCGTATCCATATCCGGATTCGCACCCCCGAATTTTAAAATTTATATTTTGCCGAATCCGATACTCGGATCCGTCCCCGTATCGGATGTTCGCACCCAATTCTGAGCAACGCAGCGTGCCACTATATCCAAATATCCATCAAACATGTATTATTGCAAATGCCAAGGGTTAAGTTTGAAGGAAGGAAGAAGAAAGGATATTCCTGCTTTCTTTCTTCTACAAGAACTGATTAGAATTCCCAAGAAGGAAAACCATCAGTGTTCCATTCTGACATATTGCTTAATATCCTTGTGTTAAAGCTTCTTGGCTTCAAGTGCCCTAGTGCTATAATAAAAACTACATATTGTTTCATTGACATAATGTGCTGTAAACCGGCCTTCCCCTTGGGAAATTGAGTATAATTTCCTTTTACTAATTATGGCTAGTCTTGCTTATGATTCTTTTATCAGTGACATTTTTCATATGCTTGGCGTGGTTCTAGGTATTTTAGTTTCTTCTTGGCTCGAAGTTGTGCTTCACTGTTGGTTTTTTCTGACAGTTGATTTCTAGAATACCGGGATTCTTTCTCTTCTATGAGGGTGTTTGGATGGGCTTAACAGCTGGTCAAACTAGCTTTTAAACACTTTTTTATTTTATGGAGTGTTTGGCAAAAAAAAAAAGCTGCTTAAAAAAAGCTAAAATGTGCTTAAAAAAAGCTAAAAGCAACAAGTTGGCTTATCCCAACTTTTCCGATTTTGGCTTAAAAGCTATTTTAGTTTGACCAATAAAATTACTTTCTTGTCCATTATAAGTTTTCATAATACTAAAATTACCCACAGTCAAAGAAACCCTAAAATATCTACTTCTCCTATTTCCTTCACTTTGAAGACAACGTTCCTCTTCTTTCCTCTTCCTCTCTGCTTCATCTTCATTTTCTGTACTTTTCCTCAAGCATCACGACCAATTGTTTTCACTCAATGCCAATTTTAAATGCATACTTTGATTTCTCTAAATCTTAGGCTTATCCCTACACTGAGAGGAAGATGTTGAATGAAATTAGTATATATTGGAAAAGTTGTGCTTCTACTGGTGCACAGATATGCTAGCAGTATGTTTCTGGAAGTGCAATTGTTTTAAAACTTGAAAATTTCTTTGAAAACTTGATGGTTTGGTCTAATAGGTTCTCTGATCTCTTTACTCTTTACGAATCCTCTCCAGAATTTGTTAGGAGTACCATCGCGTGCAACTCAATAAACTAGTGATTTCTCTATAATAACTTTAATTTGTCAAGAGTAAATGGATAAAAAGAGAAAGAGGAATTCAACAAAATAATTTGGTATTCCAAATAGGTTGAGACTTTTATGAAAGTTTACTTGATTGAAAGTGGTGAAAAATAAGCATTCAGGAATTATATTTATAAAAATTATCTAAAGTAATCAATTAAATTTAAATAAAATTAAAATATAAATTATTTTTTATTTGCATTAATTCATAATTAAATATATTGTAGTAATCAGCTTCTTTTATTGTTAACAGCTTTAAGGATATTTGTCTTTTTAATAGAAAAAAGTGTTTGCAAGCACTTGTTTACAAAACACTTCAACAGTTTTTTTAAAGCTAACTTTTATCCAAACAGGTAACTGCTTATTTATAAAACAAGTTTCAGCACTTAAAAGCCACTTTTTTTAAGTCTATCCAAACGGGCTCTATATTCATTGAGCTAGAGTTACATGTGCAGTGCACTGTTGGTTGGAGCTGTTACATTTTCTCGGTGCAATGTTGTTCGCATTCATATCCATGATCCTTTGACCTCGCCCCATCTTTGGTTGAATGTAGCATCTCCACTATAGATTTGGAATGGTGAAGAATACACCTAGAGATATCCGGAGCTATTGTACATTTTTGAAGTCACTCGTGGGTGCTTTTCTTATTGGAGCGGGTTGTCTCCCTTCAGTACTTGAAGCGGCTTCATTTATTTCTTTTATTTTCTCCTCTCAATTGGTATGGGATATTCTATTATTTCATTTTTGGGTGTTGTGTGGAAAAAGGGAGAGAGAGAGACTGTTGCCTTGAAGATCAGCCTGCAACGAATCGCTTACACGGGCATCCATGAATAGTGTTCACCATTGATTTATGAAAGCCATATATACCTAGACTCTAACAACATTTCTCCAACCCGCGGAGGCTCATTTTGTTTTGGTGCTTCCACAACTAATGGCTTCACAAATACTATTAGGAAGGACTGCATTTATACATGTAGGGGCAGAAAGTTGAGATTTATTGTTGTAGAACATCTAATGTTCTGAATCTGCTGGGGAAAAAGCAATTTTGGGAACGTTGTTTTCCTTATAATATTTCGCTTAAGGGTGCTCGTTAGTTCTTTTATATATCTTTGAATATTTTGAGAAAGTTATAAAGTTGATAGGTAAGCTAGCCAGATGATTTTGTAAGCAATGCGTTGTCCTTTCTTTTGGTCTGATATAATTCTTTCTTATTTGTCGTATGCGTAATCTGGAAGAGGATTGGAAAATCTTGGCTTTGCAGTTTGCTAAGAGTATTTTCTTGCTTTTCTCTGGAGCCACTGTAGTTCCAACTATCTTCACTCTTAGCATATTTCTCTTTATCACTTAACATAGTTCTGCCTATGCAACTTGATTTTGGTTGAGGAATAAAATTAATATGGTTGTCCTATTGGCGTTTTCGACAGTCAATATTGAAATGTTTCTCAAAATAACAATTGAGACATTTTTTTATCGGATGTCCCCGAAGGTGACTACAATTCAGACAATAAATACTCCAAATTTTGGATTTTATTCAATTTGGAAGTTATACAATTTATTTAATTCGCTAGTACTATGATTGGTCTATTAACAAAAAGAAATGTGGATTTACATATATACCAAGTTTTGGGATCAGTATTAAAAATTTAAAAGTTTACTTGCTTTAGGATTAACTTCAAACTTATCGGGTCTAAAGTTGAAAAAATTCGCGTTTGAAGTTGCAAACTTAAGATGCACTTAAGACTATTTTAATCTAAAGTATGGTTAATTTTTGTATATACTTAAGACTTTTTTAATTTGAAGTGCAAAAATTGCACTTAAGATTAATTAGACTGTGCAGTTAATTTTTGCATGCACTTAAGACTTTTTAGTCTGAAATGCAAATTGCCCAAAATTAAAAAGTTTTCTTCGAATTTCAACAATCCAACACACGATTCAACGCTCAAATCTACTTCAAATGAACTCAAATTTTAAACACAACTTTTAAATATCTTAAAGAACAAATTTCAATCATAAATTTGTTTAAATAACAACAAATCTAATAAACTCATTTTACAAGTAAGAGGAAGAAGAAGAAACTCTAAACAGTACGAAAGAGAGGAGCACCATAGCAGCTCACTACTTTAACCTGCTCACAAACACCATGTAATCCACCTATAGACAATAAATTTGCATCGATAAAATAGTCAAGACTAAAAAATATTGCAACAATCGTAGTATTTTATTTCAAATAATTTGTGTGTTACAATCTTTATGAATTCTCTAATTCTCCTTTTCTAAGATAGATAAATTCAAGTGCCTTTGAGTTTGATCTTGAATTTTAAATTTGATTTTGATTTATCCGTCATGAACTCTTTGATGGTCGCTACGAACTGTGATTCTATCATGAACAAGTAGCTTTGATCTAACACTTGCAGTTTGTAGAGAATTATGGCCTTTGATTCACAAGCTCCCTTGTGTCTTCTTGTTAGTCCTTAGCTTCTCTTTTTTCAAATGACAAAAGTGACCTCTTTATATAGGCATGGGTGGAGTAGCCTCCAAGAAAGCCTTATGGGCCATGGGCTTGATCTTTATGGGTCGATCCAGTTAGTAGAAGACCATATGGGCTAGCCCAATTGCGTTGGGCCCTTATTTAAATTAATTTAATTAGACTTAAATAATTAATCCAATATATATTAGCCCGAAATATTTATTTGGGCCAAAATATATTTAATTCGGGGATTAAATCCAAATTTCTTATGGATTTAAAATTTAGAAGAAATGACACCAGGTAGCCTGTCATGACCCAAATTTCACTAAGGGTCATGATGGCGCCGGACACCGTTGTCAGGCAAGCCAACCAAAATATTTAATTAAATTCTCGTTTTAATAATTTTGAAAACTATGATTTTCCTTCAATTTTACTAGATAATCTTTACAAAGTAAATAAAAGAATGTTTAGAAGTAAATACAAGACACCAAATAATCATCCCAGAACCTGGTGTCACAAGTACATGAGCATTTACTAGGAATGGAATAAAATACAGTAACTGTCTGGAATACAAAGTGGACAGAATTAAAAATACAATACAATACTCTAAAGGGGACTCTGCTGGTTGCGAGTCGTCTCGATAAAATGCAGCTCACCTGGGTCTCCGTATCAACCATGCCGCTATGCCACTAAGCCACTTGCCACACATGAACCTGTGCAACAAAAATGCACAACAAGTGTAGTATGAGTACGAAAACAACATGTACCCAATGAGTATCCCGTGTAATCTCGAAGAAGCAGAGACGAGAGGTCGACTTCGACACTTACTAGTGGTCCAATAGTAATATATTATTAATATGAGTAATCATGAATTTATAAAAAAACGGCAGTAAATTCAAATAAGTCAAGAAACAGGCAAACGTTCCTTTTTATATTAAAAGTCTCCGAATTCATAATCTATTAATTATCAACTTATCTCGAGTCAGGGAGGGCAAATATCAATTTCTATAAATCTCAAGGCAAGCAATACAAGCATGCGCAAATCATGTCGAGGTCGTACGGCCCGATCCAACATAAATGTAAATTGTGCACTACCGAGGGTTGAACGACGCGAACCATAGATGCATCTATTACCCCGCTCGCGAATCGTACATGTGACGCGGTCAAATATAAATAAACACAACAATCAGTAAATCAAGAGTTTATCAGGGAACAATTATCCAAGGAAAAGCCAATTCTCTTTTAACAATTCAAGAAAATGAAGTTTAATATTTTAGAAATTCATTTACTAATTCGATGTGATTTAAGCAATTCAATCTGTCAATAAGATTACAAATATTCCAAGTATACCATGCTTTTGGGTCATAGACTACCCGGACTTAAACATAATAGTAGCTACATACGAACTCTCGTCACCTCGTGCATATGTAGCCCCCCCCACAAATAGGAGCACATAACAAATTAACTCACCTATGGGGTAATTTCCTCTTACAAGGTTAGAAAGGAGACTCACCTCGCTCCGAAGATCCATAGCTGACATTCCACGCCCTTCCGAACACTCGAATCCATGCACATTGCTCCAAAACTAGCCAATAATTATGCAAATCTATCAATATACGCTCAATTACTCATTATGATCCAATTTATAACAATTCGTAACCCCGATAGAAAAGTTGACAAAAACGCCCACAGGCACACGTGCCCAGATTCTGAAATATTTCGAAGATTATGTTTACCCATAACCTCAAGAACTCAAATATATAATTTACTCTCAATTTCATACCCAAAATCGTGGTCAAAAATCCAAAAATACAATTTCTAGGTCTCCTACCAAAAACCCACAATTTCTACCAAATTTTCATGCTCAAATCCGTATATAATCCAAGTATTAACTCAAAACTAATAGAATCCACTTACCTCATGTTTGGTGGTGAAAATGACACCTCAAAGTTGCTCCAAAATCAAGTCCAATGGAAGAAATGAGGTTGAAATGAACCCAACCCCCGATTTAAAAGAACTCACTGCCTCTAACATTTCCGCACCTGCGATCACTTGACCGCTTCTGCGGTATCGCAGGTGCGTCCTCCCCACCGCTTCTGCGGTCTATCACCAAACCCCTCACTCCGCTTCTGAGCTCCTCCATCCGCAGGTGCGGTCCCGCTTCTGCAGAAAGATGACTGCATCTGCGGTCCCAGCCTAACCAACCCAATTCCGCTTCTGCGACGCAAGGGCCGCTTTTGCGGCTCCGCACCTATGGCCCAAGCCTCGTAGGTGCGGTTACACCAGAAGGCAGCAGCTTCAGACCTTCTCCAAATTCCATTTTCAGTCCGTTTACCACCCGGAATTCACCCGAGGCCCCCGGGAACCCAACCAATCATGCCAACCAGTCCCAAAATATATTACGGACTTGCCCGAGGCCTCAAATCATATCAAACAACGCTAAAATAATGAATCGACCTCCAATCCAAGCTTTATGAACTTTAGAACGTCAAATATTTACATTCGATGCCGAAACCTGTCAATTCATGCCCGATTGACCTCAAATTTTGCACACAAGTCATATTCGACATTACAGACCAATTCCAACTTCCGGAATCAAAATCTAACCCCGATATAAAAAAGTCCACTTCCGGTCAAACTTCTCAAAAACCTTCAAATTTCTATCTTTAGCCAAACGACTCCAAAATGACCCACAGACCTCCGAATTCATTTCCGATCACGCTCCCAACACCAGAACCACCATACAGAGCTATTACCAGACTTGGAATCCCAAACGGACATTGATAACACTGAAATGCACTTCAACCCAAACTTATGAAATTCCTCCAAGGTGCTAACTTCCACAATAGGTGCCAAAACGTTCCCGGGTCTTCCAAAACTTGATCTGGATATATGCCCTAGTTCGAATCATCACACGAACCTGTTGGAACTTTCGAATTCTGATTCCGAAGTCGTTTACTCAAAAATCCAATATTAGTCAATTCTTTCAACTTAAAGCTTCCGAAATGAGAATTCTCTTTCCTATTCAACCCCAAACTTTCCGAAATTCAATTCCGACTATGCGTACAAGTCATAATACCTGAAGTGAAGCTGCTCATGGCTTCAAACTGCTGAACGATGCGCTAGAGCTCAAAACGACCGATTGGGTTGTTACGTTCTCTCCCACTTAAACATACGTTTGTCTTTCAACGTGCTAAGAACTGCACTGGATTGTCCGAAATCACTGTTTAACACCTCGAGTACCTACCCGTTCTACCACAACTCAGCTGGGCACCCTAGCTCGATCAATCCAAAGATATCCTTTTTCATTTAGGCAAATAAGCCTTAGAGCCCAGTTTCAACATCCGAAATTCTATGCCAGGCCTACTTTCAACATGCGCTCACCGTATCGATCACTACACTCAGCACCAAAACATGACTGCTTACCTTTGCTGAATTCCCACCTTGCACCACTTTACTCACTGGACCACAATAACATTCTCTGATCAAATTAGTCAAAATTCCACGAATCCGATGCTCTCAATGCATCTTATGACCTATATACATCTTGCTCTGACTCTTACTATACCACCATGACAGAAGATGCGCGTAGAAATTCACAACCAATTGACGAGTCAACAAATCATTGGGGCTATACTCATGACAAGAATCATTACCTCCTTCTGAACCAAATAATGGTATTTGCTCTTTAATATTCTTCGTATAATCCAATTGCACTGATCTCAGTTCCGATAATCTCATCTCAC